CCTGTAACTTTACGTGACTAGAGCATCATGTCATAAAAGGATTTTTGAACAGTACTTTTTTGAAGGAATTTACTATGAGACAGCATTTAAGCGAAATAATGTTTTTATTGTAAACATTAGAAAATAAGGGCGAACATTTATGACATAACTAGAGGAGTTTCTTTGTAAAAAGGTGAATAATCACTGTCAGAATTATTTACCTCTTGTAAATATTATATTTGCATTTATTTCAAAAAAGGTGATGGGTTACTGTTCACAGAGTAAAAAGAAACTATGTGTTCTCTGAAGCAGTATGCCTTCATCAAGCTTTCTATTGTTTACGTGACTAGCACACCTGCTTCCTAGGGCAGATTCCATATCTGGGTGGGACACAAAGGTTCGCTGTAGAATTAGGATGAGGATATATTTTATCGGCTTTGTACTCACAAATATCCCCTTCCATATGTTTTCTGGATGCTTCCATCCGCTATGCTGTTCAACCTTCTTGTTTCATTTCAAATGTTAATTTTTATATAACGAACCATTAAAATTCACTTGGTTTGATGACAGAATTCCAGCTCATGTAATTCTTTCTGAGAGTTAAGAATTATCTTATTTCCAAGTTGTCAGAGTTTAAAAATGTCTCGGAGATCAAAAACATCAATTTAGTTTTGTAAACCTGGTAACTCCAACAAACTTTGGGATTCTTATGGCCATTTCTATTTTATTTTATAATTTTAATATATATATATTTTTGGGACAGAGTCTCACTCTGTTGCCCGGGCTAGAGTGCCATGGCATCAGTCTAGCTCACAGCAACCTCAAACTCCTGGGCTCAAGCGATCCTCCTGCCTCAGCCTCCCAGGTAGCTGGGACTATAGGCACGCACCACGACTGGCTAATTTTTTCTATTTTTATCAGAGACAGGGGGGTCTCACTCTAGCTCAGGCTGGTCTTGAACCCCTGACCTCAGACAATTCTCCTGCCTCGGCCGTTCAGGGTACTAGGATTACAGGCATGAGCCACCGCACCGGCCTTATTTTATTACTTTATTTAGTGCAATGGTAAATATGTGTGCTACTAACAAAAGGTCCACACACAATTAGGAGACAGGCAATGTGCCATTCTTTATAGAAACAGCAGTTGTAACTATCAGATGCAAAGTTATGATCGAGAGAGGCCAGGGGCTGGAGAATGACTAGAGTTAGTAGATTTGGTGCTGTTCTTTGCTTCTTTGGTTTGCTTTTTAGCAGCAATAAGAGTATACACGTAGAAAGTATTGTGTGCCAGTGCCTGTAGACAGTGACTCTATTTTCAGTTTCAATTTAAAACAATATCAGTGCATACTCTTGGGCAACCAGGCCAGCTAGTTTATTTCCAGTGAATTCTGTGAAGGGCATGTTTAAAATACTCCCCAGGATTTACTTGGCAGCTGAAGTTGTTTGATACTACAAGGCTTATTTTGAAATGATTGATTCTCTTTGTGATATTGGCATTTCCTGAAGTTCTGAGTCAAGATTATTGTTGTACAATGATAGATACTGTTGACAATTTGCTAAGTATGTTCAATGGCTTCCTAGATTTTTTTTTTAGTAAGAATCCTTCCTATATAGACCATGATGGAGGGTTCCAACAGGTTTTGCTGCAACCTTAACTGCAATTTCAGCTCTGGGCTTGGCTCATTCACGTCTGCCTTCCAGTTTGAGAGGTCTGCCTATTTTTCACTCTGATGCTAGTGTTTCCTCCAGCCCCAGATATTGATAAATGGGTGTGGTTGCTTTCAGCTCCCTGTGGCTTTGAGTCACAGCCCACATGCACTTCCAGACAGTGTTTTGATCAGTGATTCTGTAGTGTGGACAGTTTTGGCAGAAAATCGTCCGCTCTTGTAGCGAGGTGTAGCCGGGCTGGGGTTCCCAGGCTAAGGGTGGCCAGCACAGTGAATCAAAGCATCCAGAGAACAGATGAGGGGCTATTTCTGGAGATTGCCTGGTCTTTGCTAGCAGTAACAAATGAAGGTTTTTTTTTTTTTTTTTAATGGAGGCAAAAGGAAGGGTGTGTTCTGGGGTGGGTAGAGTGCAGTTTGTGGTGGGGAGTCGCAAAGTTGAGGAGTGGGGCTGGGTTTGGACAGGAAGGACAAAGAGCAAAGTGATACTTCACACTGCAGGAAGATGTTAAACTTTTTTTTTTTTTTACCTTGTAAAACCACTAAACTGCTCTTCCCTCAGATGTTCCCTTGATTTTTTTTTTTAAGTTAGGACTAAATAACCATGCTGCATAAGCAGAAAAACTCTGAGCTTACATAAAGCTTATAATGATGGTATCAATAAAATTTAAAAACAAAATTACCATAGTGGTACATATTTAATTATGCGCACACTTCCTACTGTGCTATGTGGTAATAATGGCAAGCGAATCACATAAACATTGTAACTGGTGTTACTTTTAATAGGGACAGGAACTAATATTTATTGAATCCCTAATGTCTGCTGGGCTCCATGCTGGGTGCTTTACATATGTTATCTCATTTAACATATAGCTTAACAAGGCATTTCCAGGTCCAACGAAGGTGGAGGAGGAAGAAATTACACTTTTGAGCCCTTCTGAAGACCCAGCATTTTTGTTGGTGGAGGAACACATTTCCCCAATGGTCCACAGGGCTTAGGCATCTCCTTCATTTAGAAGTTTGCCCTTCCTGAGCCCTGGAATCTTAGTCACACCTGGGCAGAGTGAGGACGCAGAGCTGTGCTGGGAGTTGACTGGGCAGCCCACACTCACCATCTGAAAGGCAGGAGTTGTTTGAATACCAGGAAGCAGAACCCAAAGGAAATCCTTTGAGTTTTGCTGGGAGCATGTGAGTGAGACTCGCTGCAGCCCCCAGCTCTGCTCTCCTCTCCCTCTTTCTCTTTCTCAATGCACAGCCTCCCAAGGGGAAGGGAAGGAAGCCCAGGGTGTGTTTTAGAGAGGGCCCCTCCACGCCTACCTTTCTCATGCCCTTCTAAACGTGTTTATTGACAGTGCCCGGCATTTCACTATTTAGAGTCTGGGCTTTTTTTTTTTTTTTTCTTCATCTTTTGGGATTAGGGAATTCTTTGAAAGTCGATAACAATCTAGACTCCAGTCTCCAGAAAAAGGTACCAATATTTACACTTCAAGTTAAGACTGCTTGAATTAGAGAGTCACACAGACCAAGTACAGTGTCTGGGGAGGGTGGTTAGGAGAGTCTATCAGCCATTTGCTCCACTGAGGAGAACTGACAGGTGCTCAGGAAGGTGCACAAAAGGAATAGAGTCCACACAAGAAGAGGGGAGAGAGACAGCAGAAGGTGTCCTTGGAATGGTACTTCAAGGTGAAGATGGGGAAATTGTGAGTCTGAGAAGAAAATTAAGTCTGGGGAAAAAAGTGAGGTATATAGATACAAGCACAGAATTATAACAACAACAAAAAAAAGTTGTTTATTTACCACAATATGTTAAATCATGAATGGTATCTAACTTAGTGTGGATTATGCTTGCAAAACATTCAGCCAATATCCAAGAATGGCTAATTGTCATGCTAAATTATTTATGATATTTATGGAGTAAATGACTTTAGGCACTGAGGCTTTTATCTCTCCCCCTGATGAATCTTTTGAACTTTATTTATTTTCTGAACCCTATGCCACCCAGGCAGATTGTGTTCCTGGAAAACATCAAGGATATTAAGTTATCAGCTCCTAGTATTGGTGCTGCCACTGTAGATAAGCCCTAGATGCCCTTTTCTCCTTTGTAAGAGAATCGTTACTGAGCGCTGGTTGGGTACCTTACATTAGCAACTCCTGTTTGATTTCTAACTGTTCTTTTTTTTTTCAAAGACAAGCGAAAAGAAATTTTATTTTGATTTTTGGAGCAAAGAGAATACTACTGTCATTTTGGTATAGTTGTAGGCTATATTCCATCACTGAGAAAATATTAGCCCTATGATATGGGTTGAATTGTGTCTCCCCAAAAGATGTGGAAGTCCTTAAAATTGGTACCTGTGAATGTGACCTTATTTGGAAATATGGTCTTTGCAGTTGTAATCAAGTTAAGATGAGGCCATTAGGGTGAGCTCTTAATCTGATATGAATGATGTCCTTATACGAACAGGAGAAGACAGACACACAGGGAATGAGGTCACGAGAAGATGGAGACAGAGGTTGGACTTATGTTGCTACAGACCAAGGGGTGCCTGGGGCTACAGAAACTGGAAAAGTCAAGGAGGATTTTCTCCTAGTAGCTTTGGAGGAAGGATGGCCCTGCCAAGACCTTGATTTTAAATTTCTAGCTTCTAGAATTGTGAGACAATAAATTTCTGTTGTTTTAAGCCACTCCATTTTAAGCTACTTTGTTTGATGTCATTATATCAACTTAGGAAACTAATATACCATGCTTACTATTTTTCTACAGTAAGTAATCATTTCTATTCTATTTTGGATGAGTTCATTAGTTTTGACTACTCCTGCTTGAGATGGACTAGTCATTATAGTCATAAAAATCTCAAATATTTTCCAAATTAATATTAAATTCAAATCCCCTACTTCTATAGGCCATTTATATAATTTATATATGCTATGACTTAAATTTACCTTTTCATAAAAATGCAAAATTGCTATTTTCCTTCTAAAATGAAAAAAATTCATTTTATTATCCTTAGTGAAAATATATTTAACAATGTCATATAATTTGTTAGTATTTATTACCTGAGATATTCTAAATAAGATTCTGATTTAAAAATATCAAAAGATATGTTTACTCCTAAAGCAATAAATTACTTGAAAATAAATATTTTTAAAAAGTATTTAAAAATTAGATATTAGTAGCTATCGGTGTTTAGGATATTTAATTTTATTGAAAAAGATGGCAAGACAAGAAGAAAACACAAATGGCTAAGGAAAAAGGAATCTCAGAAAAACAGCTTATGTAATAAATAAACCATATGGTTGAGGGATGTCAGAAGTCTCAAATTTATTTTGAGACCAGAGTCAGTCTGATCCTGCAAATTACCTTCAGGGAAAGATGGCGGTGCTGCCCAAGTCACTCCCATGGGTGTTTGTCATTCCTCTGAAGTCCAGGACTGTTTTAAATTGCAAAGAGGGCAGCCAATTCTGGAATACAATTAGCTGGGTGAGCATAGCCTTTGTAGTGGTGGTTGCCCATTTAGGCTCTTCCCTCCCTATACTGCATAAGGTTTCTGTGATCTGCTCCTCCAGTTATGTGTTTTGTATCTTACTCCATGTCCCACTTTATGCCATTTGCCTAAGTGAGATTTATCATAAAGTCTGTTGTTTTGAATTCAGTGCCAGGAAGACTAGTTACAAAGATACCCAAAGGAGTTCATTCCAAGATGGCTCTGATGTGGGTATCATTGCAAAATTATATCAAGGTCACTTGTATTTATTTTTTTCCTTGAACAGTTTCTTGACTTTAAAATGCCTTTGGAATTTCAAACTCAAAATTCTAATCCCTTTCAGTGAGCTCAGTCTCTATGCAAAACTTGCTTCCCGCCTGCCAAATTGAAAGCATCTGGATGGAATACTGAATTTAGGTCATTTTTTTTTTTTTTTAAAACCAATGTGTCCTTCTCTAGAAGAAAGGAAATCAAATCCAATAACATCACACAGGGAAGAAGGTAAAATAGTTCCAGCAAGAGCTTTTCTTTTCAATAGTTGGTTGGAATTAAGTGTGGGACACTTCCTTCTTCCCTATCTCTCTTTCCCCAGAGGCCAGATCTTAAAAGAGGTAGAGCCTTCCACTTTCACTTATCACTCTGGGACCATTCTCTGCTGGGAGAAATGCATGTTCCTAGTTAACACCCAAGGTTAAAGGAGAGGACTTTTCTATCTTCCCAGTGGAGGCTAATAGAGTGGTACCCACAGGGCTTCTCAGACTAGAAAGTGCTCAGGAGTCCTCTGAGGGTTTTGTTAACATGCAGATTTTTATTAGGGCAGCCTGGGGTGGGGCCTCAGCTTTTGCATTTCTAAAAATCCTGTAGGTGGTGCAAATAGCTGTTAGTTGGTAGACCACATCTTGAGTAGCAAGGGGTGGACTGGACTTTGCATCGAGTCCAGACTTTTCTCCCAACACCTGGCCATTTCTAGGCTTGGTATGTTGAGTGTATAGAGGACTTAGAATTGAGTAATATCTACCCACACATGGATGTCATTCCACCATTTCCTTTTTCTCCTTCATCCCGAATCTCTCCCCACTAAATGCACTAACTGATATTTAAAAAATCAGTGCACACAGAAATTTGCCATTATAGAGAAAATATTTTTAACCAAGGAGAGAGAAGGAAAACAAGGAATATAGATTCATCTATTAATATATTGAATCTATATTCTATCACCAGAGAATTCAGAATATAATTTTACCAGAGATAATAGAGTTTCCTTAGTATTTACTTAGTGCTAAGGTAAGTAATGGCTACAATGGTAGAAGATTGAGGCATATTTAATTTTCAGCTTTCCAAGTGCTCTAAATAAAAAAGATTATCATAATATGACCGAAGCTATTATATCCACAGCAGCACTTAAGACTGATAGATATAATGTTCCACTTAGGAGCTATTATGGTACAATTAAGTAGATGGTATTAAAAAGAAGTTTCTTAAAACATTTAAAGTTGTAAAGCTATTCAGAAATAGATCTATGCTGCTCAAGCAAATACAAACAAGGACTGGAGTCATTTTAGTGGATAATAAAAGAAATCAACAAGCCCAACTCTAGCTCCCCATGGATGAGATTTAAAGCAACAAATCTATGCTACTTTATGCAATTAACATAAAATATACTTAAATTTGGAAGATTTACTCTGCTATCACCTTCCCACACAACAAACACAAATCCCAGGCTAATTTGCCTTCATTAATTCACATGCAATTGCAGGGCTGATTTCTGCTGTCAGATGCTTATGCACAATCTAGCTTCAAGTTACTGCATATGGGCCCTTTAGCTTCTGTTCAGATCCTAAAGGAATCACAGGTTATACACATTATGAGCCTTTAAGCCTGATTCCCCACCCCTGAGGGAAGCTCTATCAATGTGTTCAGAATCAAAGAGGTTCATGGAGAACAATTTCTTGCCTATCGTCTGGCAGAACTCAGGCCCAGCTGCTTGGCTATGAAAGGGAGAGGTCTGTGGTGGCCTCATGTGGGGAGAGATACTTTCCAAGATGCCTCTTTAACGGGTAACTTTCCTGACCTGACTCTTCCCCAAATATTGCAAAGAATGGGCCTAATAAATTATGATCAAGGGCCAAATAAACTGTAACAACTTTGGGTGTTTTGGAGTTCTTTTTGGAAAGAAATATTCAGAATATTCTATCTTTTAACTAAGGAAAACCATAATCTGAGATGGAGCAAATAATAGGTAGTGTTTTGGTTCAATATTGTAATCACGTAGAGTAACATGAAAAAGGATGGAGGGGCAGAGAGAGGGGGTTATAGAGAATGAGAAGGCAACCAGGTGGAGAAGGTCTCTCACACCAACAATCAGGCAGACAGAATGAAAGAGAAACAGATCTGGAGAGAAGACACAGGGAGGCAGAGGAAATACCATGGTGGAAACACATGCTGTCTGGTTTGTTCAAATACTTGTGCTATGCTGTATTTGTGTTTTCTTTAAAAGTGTTTGAAGGAAGACTAGCTCCTTTACTCATAAAAAGGGTCGACTGAGAATCCAGATTGTGCACTGGATGATCTGCATTTTCAAACGAGGCGGACCATAGAGAAGAGGGGAGCGGCCATATGGGGCCACCCAGGAAAGGGCCGTGGATGGCCATGGCAATGGCGGCTCCCAGCCTGACTGGATGGAAAAGGGGGTGGGCAGAGGCTGGAGAATTCTCAGCTTCCTCTGTTTTGAGTTTTGGTTTGACTCTAGAAAGCACTCAATTCCCACCCAAAGAGCTAAGATCTTGCCACACGTTTATATATTCTAATTTTTAGCATAGCCTCAAAGAAGGGAGACACCTCCAACCATGGTCTCCTACCAGCATGTTTGATCTTTCTAAGAAGTCTGTGAAGTAGGTGGAACAATCATTAATACCAGTGTTATCCAGTCAAATGGCAGAGGAGGAAACTGAGACCTGGCAATCAATTGCTTGGGGGAAGATGACCTAGCTAGGAAGGAGTAGTCATGTTTATAATGGTTGAAGAGAGAGTGGCTCTGCCACTATGTGATTTTGGGCAAGTAATTTAACTTTTCTATGCCTCAGTTTCCTCATCTATGAGGAAAATGAGAATAATAATAATACCTGGCTTTAAGGTTGTTGTCAGAATTAAATGAGATAGTACAATAAGCATTTAGAACCGTGTTTGGCAAAACTCTTAAGTGCTAAATAAATGCTGGATATTACTGTAATTATTAGAAAGACTGAGCTATTCAGACCAAGTGTTCTAGATTCACATTCACAACTCATGTTAATAAATTATGGTCAGGCAACCACTGAGGAGTCAGTGAATGATCAGAGGTTAGCGCCTCTTCAAATTCTGGAAATGCTTCAAACACAGACTGATGTTCTAGAGATTTCAAGCAGAATGAAGGTCTATTTAGGAGGGTTTCTGATTGGAATAAGTTCTACCAGAAATGAATTCATATTATGTACTGAATGTTTGTGTCCCCCTTAAATTCACACGTGGAAATCCTAACCCCCTAGGACAGGCATCTTCAAACTACAGACTGCGGGCCACGTGCGGGACACCTAGCACATTTATCCGGCCCTCTGGGTGTTTTTGCCTCCGCTGCCTGTCCTGCTTAGCAGCCGACTCGTCCTGGGCCCACACCGCGCACTCTCCAACGGTCTGAGGGACAGTGAACTGGACCCCTGTTAAAAAAGTTTGAGGACCCCGGCCCTAGGACATAGGGCCTTTGGGAGGTAGTTAGCTGTGAGGGTGGAGACTTCATGAATGGGATCAGTGCCCTTATAAGAAGAAACACGAGAGAGATGCTTTCTTTCTAAACTGTGCGAGGATACAACCAGAAGATGGCCATCCAGGAAGAAGTCCCTCACTAGTCACTAGATCTGCTGGCACCTTGATTTGAGGCTTCCCAGCTTCCAGAACTGTGTGAAATAAATGTTTGTTGCTTCAGCCACTTCGTCTCTGGTATTCTGTTACAGCAGCCTGAACTTCCTGAGACAGATTCATTAATCAAGAAGTTTGTTTGTTTTAAAGATAAAGTGTTTCCATTGTAAAATGTGGCTCATCCAGACCTAGGTGCTTGTGGATAAAATTGTTTTTGCTCTCAAGACATCTTCCCCCAAACTTTTTTTGGGCTTTAGAAAAAATAGTTATGTAATTATACGGTCTGTTTAACCATGAATAGCTTTTATTTTTTAAAACATAAAAGCAGCTCTATTAAGATTAGAAGTCCTTTAAGCATTGGCAGAGATGTGGTTTGCAGGTTGTAACAGCCAAGTATGAAAAGTGCATCCTCTAGTGGTATTACCCATGAACAACAAAGAAAGGCAATCTTAGGTCTGGGGAACCCTCACTGGGTTGTCTCCCACATCCTGTGGTGAACACAGAATATCCAAGCCAGCTCACGCTTTGCATTTGGTAACCTGAAAGAAGGAAAGAAAAAATTCGAGCCTACTACTTTCAAATACATAAAAGTTTAGTATCTAGCAGCCAGTTGGTTCCTGTACCCACCTGGGAGCAAGAAAAGGAACGGGGACACCTAAACTATAGGCTAGAGGATTAAGGTTAGCAATATACTGTGGAATGGGGCGGCTCCAAACTGTGAAGCCTATTAAATGAGAAGTTCATAGAAATTCATTTTTTTTTTAGAAATCTATAGGGTAAATTCTACAATGAAGAGGGTTCTAGAGTTTAAAATTATATGTGTCTGTTTAAACATTTTTCTGTAATTTATAAAAAGTTTTTTTTATAAAAGAGATGCTCAACATTATGTTACCTGTACAATGTATATAACAAATATTAATTTGAGAAAATTAAAAGATTATCTTTTTGATGCTATTTAGCACAGAATTATAATGGCTCTTTTCTTTATGGTAAATCATATATATATATATTTTTTTGCTTGCTTTTTAAAAACAAGTTTTCATAATATCTTCCTATTCCCACATTTGGCAAATAATTTTATACTTGACTCTCTTAGAAGATAATTATGTGTGGTCAAAATAATATTGTTAGGAGAAGAATATGACCTTCCAATGGTTTTATAAATAGCCATATTGAAGAAACCCAAAACATAAAATCAATAACTCAAAAATCATGCCATCTTCAGGTTATTTAAATATGCATATTCATGTTTAAAAAGAAGAGGTGATCTCTTTTCCAAAAAATAATTTTATTAATGGCTCCAGAATATTTGTTGTATATCAATCCCCTTAAAGATTTTACCCATTAATCATACTTTTTTTTTTTTTTTGAGTCTCACTCCATTGCCCAGGCTAGAGTGAGTGCCGTGGTGTCAGCCTAGCTCACAGCAACCTCAAACTCCTGGGCTCAAGCTATCCTTCTGCCTCAGCCTCCCGAGTAGCTGGGACTAAAGGCATGCGCCACCATGCCCGGCTAAATTTTTCTATATATTTTTAGTTGTCCAGCTAATTTCTTTCTATTTTTAGTAGAGACAGGGTCTCACTCTTGCTCAGGCTGGTCTTGAACTCCTGACCTTGAGTGATCCTCCCGCCTCAGCCTCCCAGAGTGCTAGGATTATAGGTGTGAGCCACCATGCCCAGCCTAATCATATGTTTTAATTAACTGAACTACAGACTTTATTTAGATTTCCCTAATTTTCCCACTAGTGTATGTTTTCTATTCTAGGATTCATTCCAGGGTCCCACACTGCATTTAGTTGTCCCATGTCTTTAATCTTCTCCACTCCATGACAGTTTCTTAATCTTTTCCTGTCTTTCATGATGTTGACACTTTTGAAGGTACTGGTTTAGGTATTTTGTAGAATGCTCATCATATCATTTAGTAAAATTTTTATACTTTTAAAATAGAAGTAACAGAATTTATGAGCTGGAAGTGACCTTAGAAATCATTTTATTGACTAGTCTAAATTCCTGCTTTTATTGACATGGAAACCAAGGCAAATATGGTTTAAATGGCTTCCTCAAAGTCAAATGGCTAGTGAGCCAGAGCCAGGCCTGGCACTCAGTTCTCTTGCTTCATATCTCATGCTTTTTCAAGACACAGCAAAAAGAATGCCTCTATCTCTGGCATGAGAGACCAGGGGTAGAGGCATGATCATAATGGGGACTGACAAACCCTGAGGATGCTGTTTTATGCTCCAGGCCTTGGACTTTGTGCCTGTAGAATGCCACGTGAGTGGTGCTCCCTGGAGGTGTATAACTTGCGTGGTACTGATGTGTCCACCTGAACTATTTACAAGGTGATTGGATGTGGCTTATAATAAAAGAAACAGTAAAAGAAATATATAGTAAGATCATACAGGTCGTTCAGATATAATGTGATTGATAAGTGGTCTTGGTCTTCTACCCAGAACTTGTTTATAGAAGAAGGTGGCTGAAGGACAGAAATTATCTTTTTGGGGGGAGGGCAGGAGGTGAGGTAGGAAGTGACTCCTTCTTTCACTTGAAGCTTTCTCATTTCAGTGTACAGTGTGCATTTTCTTTGCAATAATCATTCTCTTTCCTACAAGCCTAATAAATGAAAACATGGTTTTTCTTCCTCCTGCTCCATTATAGAGACAGGAACTGGAAGGCTGACCAAAAACAAAACAAAATAAAGCAAAAGACTCAAAACATTGTTTTTCATTAATCTTGCAATTCATAACCCCACATTTTATGTAATAGAACTTATTGGTTCTCTACTTTCTGTTAAGGTGGGGGTTAGCAGAATAAAAGACATAAGCCAACAGAGTGGGAGAAAAGATTTGTAAACCACATATCTGACCAAAAAAACCTAGTATCTAGAACACATAAAGAAATCTCAAAACTCAACTGTAGGAAAAATAAACAATCTAATTAGAATATGGGTAAAAGGCATGGACAGACAGTTCACCAAAGAAGATAATACAGATGGTCAATAAGCACATGAAAAGATGTTCAACATCATTAGTCATTGGAGAAATGCAAATTAAAACTACTATGCGATAGAATTATATACCAATTGAAATGGCTAAAATAAAAAATAGTGCCAACACCAGATGCTGGTGAGGATGCGGAGAAACTGGATTACTCACACATTGCTGGTGGGAACATAAAATGGTACAAACACTCTGGAAAAATAGTTTGGCAGTTTCTTAGAAAAGTTAAACATGCAACTACCATACCATCCAACAGTTGCACTCCTGGGCATCTCTCCCAGAGAAATGAAGACTCATGTTCACACAAAAACCTGTACACAAATGTTTAGAGTAGCTTTATTGATAATAACCCCAAACTGGAAACAAACCACATGTCCTTCAGTGAGTGAATGGTTGAACACTCTGTGGTGCGTCCACACCATGGAATCACTCAGCAATAAAGGAAATCACTGATATGTGCAACAACCTGGATGATCCTCCAGAGAATTATGCTGCGTAAAAAAAAAAAAAAAAAAAAAAGCCAATCCCATGCTGTAAGATTTGTTTAATATGACATTCTTGAAATGATAGAATTATAGAAATGGAGGTCAGATTAATGGCCTTAACCCTAACTAACTCCTGGAATTAGGGAGTGGGTAGAGGTGGGGAGGGACATGGGTGTGGCTATAGCAGGACAACACGAAGGATCCTTGTGGAGATGGGAATGTCCTGTATCTGGACTATAGCAATGTCAATATCCTGGTTGAGTTACTGTGCCATAGTTACCCAGAAGTTATGAATGGGGAGAACTGGGTAAAGGGTACACAGGATTTCACTGTATTATTTCTTAGAACCTGCAATTATCTCAAAATTATGTTTAATTAAAAATGAAAGACATCATAAGCCAGACATTAAAGAAGGAAAGGGGGTCTACTGTTTACTGTTTACTGAAGTTACTGTTGTTTGAACTTTAAAAAAAAATTTTTTTTTTGAGACAGAGTCTCCCTCTGTTGCCCAGGCTAGAGTGAGTGCCGTGGCATCAGCCTAGCTCACAGCAACTTCAAACTCCTGGGCTCAAGCGATCCTCCTGCCTCAGCCTCCCGAGTAGTTGGGACTACAGGCATGCACCACCATGCCCAGCTAATTTTTTCTATATATATTAGTAGGCCAATTAATTTCTTTCTATTTATAGTAGAGACGGGGTCTCACTCTTGCTCAGGCTGGTTTCGAACTCCTGACCTCTAGCAATTCGCCCGCCTTGGCCTCCCAGAGTGGTAGAATTACAGGCGTGAGCCACCACGCCAGGCCCTGTTTGAACTTTTTAATGAGCAGATATTAATAAATTATTAGTGCAATTAAAAATTACCAAAAAAGAGAGGAAGGAGAATGTAAAATAGTGTGTGGGTGTTAACTAAGGAAGTGTTAAGATACAAAACTTGGCTTTTTACTTCCTTTGGGTCACAGACAAGAGGGAAACATGAAAAGGTGACATAGTTGTCAAGTAGAAGGGAAAACATGAGTAACTCAAAGACTAGTGCATATTTGGGGCTAATGTTATTTTCAATATGATAAAGCATAAAAATACTTAACATATTAGAGATGTCTGTTTGTATATGGTGATTCCTGGCATAGGTAAATACATTCATGCTTTTATTGGTATTATGAAACTTCAGTTGGCATTCAAGAACTCACCCTCTAATACAATAATCCATACTTTTTTTTCTATAAATAAAGGAAATTTAGAGAAAATAACCATAACCAACTTCT